AAATTTTAATATTAAATATATCATTACTATATTTTATTCTTATCACTTATATTACACTATAAATTTTAATATTTTATTTCATGCACTTATATTTGTTTTATGGATGATAGGTATGTAATATTAAAATTTTAATTGTTAGATATATAAGAAATATAAAATAAAATGGTATGTATGTAAATCCCTCAATTTATATAGAATGCATTAAATAAAGAGGTTATTTAATCAGGATTCAAAGTTATAAAAAAAATGAAATTTGATGAGATCTCAATCTTTTAGTTGAAATTTGTCCGCATTAAAATTTCTTTAAAGTGCAGCGGAAACTCTCGAAAACAATTGCAAGTGATCGCAATTACGAGTTTTGAAACTGTGATTTATTAGATATCGATCTGAGTGGTCGACTAACAACTCATCATGGAGTTTGTTTGGTTCAAAATTATTGCTTCTAAAGTTGAATTTGTTAGTTTTTTTATTAATTGATACCTGCAACGTTAGTAATATCCTTATAAAAATATAACCGCATATTTCTTTATAAAATTATATTTATATGTTTTATTTCTATTGTATAAGTATTCAAATTTTATATAAATACCCTCAAAATTAATTATTTTTTTCAAAATAATTAAGAATGTAATTGTTTTTCATAGTATTTTTTGTTCAAAATTATTGCTTCTAAAGTTGAATTTGTTAGTTTTTTTATTAATTGATACCTGCAACGTTAGTAATATCCTTATAAAAATATAACCGCATATTTCTTTATAAAATTATATTTATATCTTTTATTTCTATTGTATAAGTATTCAAATTTTGTATAAATACCCTCAAAATTAATATTTTTTCAAAATAATTAAGAATGTAATTGTTTTTCATAGTATTTTTTGTTAAAATAAAAATTCATGAATAGAAATATCTTACAATCTTTATTTTTTTCTTATAAAATTTGGATTATAAGTTAATAAATTCAATACGTAATTTAAAATTTTAAATATGAGATATCAAGAATCGAAAATGATCTATGAGAACAACCTGGGTCAGATTACCTGATATAATATTTATTATTTTTCCCACCGAATCTTTGTAAGATGACTTAATTGGCTGGACTTCCACTTCAATTTTAAAAAAATCAAATTCAGTAAAACATTATTTATTTTTGTAAATTCTGGATTTGGACGCAGGGACATGTGCTCCCAGCGGGCCCACACCCGAGCAGGTTTACCGACTATGCACCCGGCGAATCTACCGGTTTCCGTAGCTGCCATCATGGCGGCGCTTCCCAGCTTGGCTCGGCTCAGCTCGGCTGAATTGGATTTACTTGCATAGCTCTCCGAATTATATTATTTACCTATCTTATACATAAATCTTATTATTTATATATTATAACACCCTGTAATCAGCTCACAAAATCATTGCCACACAGGTGGATTGGTGGGACCGACAAATATTGACTATGAAGAAAATATGAAAAGTCATATAAAAATGTTCTTAGGAAGAACATCCATAGAATAAATATGTGCACATAATAAAAAGATGAAGTATAGCATTTAATATGTGATCAATGACAATAGGGACTGAGAAAGTCACCATGCTAAAAGATTATTATGTGCGGAGTCCAGACGGAAAAAATTGTCCGGACATGTGAGTGTCCACACTGTATACAAATTTAAATATAGTGTGTATCAAACAATGTATACACTCACAGTCCATACATTCCTTTATTCGAACTCAGCACAGGATAATTTCTCCCATGCTTTGGAGGTGTATTCTTTATTCTTAAATAATCTTTTTGTGTTATATTAATAAATAGTAAAATGTAGATATTAAAAAATAAAAATGATATTTTTTGTGTTATATTTGTCTAGAATATAAAAGTAGATCTCATAAGAAACAAATATGCACGTGTATTAAAAAGTTCTCGAAATTATCCAAAAAATAATTACAAATTATGATTTTTTTTTTTCTGAAAGAAGAAAATCCCAAATATAATTATATTCTGATTTTGATTTTGTCTGCTTCCAACAACACGTAGCTAGTTCCGACGAATGAAGCTGGTCCCACTGATCCCTGCATTTAAATTCTAGCCAAACCGCCGACGTAAAAGCTTCGGGGGAACAGATTCGGCTCCTAGCGCTGGCGCTCTGCACTTCGTCTCGCCGTCCTATCAATAAATCAATTGACGAATTTGTGAGACCAGTCGCCGGCGGCGGAGAAAATGGGCGAAGATTACGCCGGAGTGCTGGAAACGGCGGCAATGCTGCGGCGAATGATCGAAGCAATTGAGAAAATTCCCTCCGCCTCCGACTTCTGCAACCCTTACAATAAGCAATTTTGCTGCCTCTCCAGGCAGATAAAGCTTTTCACCCCAATGCTGGATGAGCTATGGGACAGAAGTACTTCCATTCCCGATGAGGCCATCAAAACCCTTGTCCCTCTCGCAGGGGCGATCGCGGCCGCCGGGGAGCTGCTTCAGTTCGGGAATCAAGGGAGCAAGATTTATATGGTACGTCAGTTAAATCGAAATTAGGGCACTTGCTTAGAACACAAACTTTTTTGTTTTTGTTTTTTTGGAAAAATACGCATTTTTAAGGTTTATGAAACAAAGATGGATCTTTTTTCTGCTAATGTTTTAAATGGCACATATAATTCTGGATTTCACCTTCCATCTTGATTAATTGTAGGTGCTTGATAGGGACAGAACACTACAAAGGTTCAAAGACGTGAATATTCGCTTAGAGCATGCTTTGGATGTTATCTCCTTCAATAAACTCGGCATAACAGTTGAAGTTAGAGAACAGGTGAGAGCATTTGTTTCTCTGGGCTTCAAATTCGGGAAAATTATTGCGTGCAGCGTCCCGATTCGTTCGGAAACGGCAAATCCGGACGTGCCATATCACCCAGGACCCAGTGCATTCGGGTGATGTGGCGCATTCGGATTCGTCTCCGGACAGTCCGGACACCGCACGTAATAAACTCTCATTGTTTCATTTGAGTCTCTTTTGCAAAATCTATTAGGATACAAGATTATTGATATGGTTGAAATACTGTAACAATTTTTGGCAGGTGGATCTTGTGCATGGTCAGTTGAAAAGAGCAAAAGATCCTGTTGATGGCTCTGATATTGATCTGTACAATGACTTGTCATCCATTTACAAGAGCATCGATTCTAATACTGACCCAGTCATTCTTCGTAGAGTGGTAGAAAACTTACAGTTATCGAACATATCTAACCTCACACAAGAATCGGTAGCATTACATGAACTAGTTGTTCTCACTGGAGGTGCAGATCCTGAACAGAGTCTGGAAAGGATGTCTATGTTGCTAAAGAAAATGAAAGATTTTGTACTCACACAGAATCATGAAATGGAAAATCGACCAAATCCTATTATTCCTGTTTCAAAGTGGAGTTTTAGTACCCATCTGATCTTTAGGCTATCCTCCTGTAAACTCGAGGACCAATGCTCGGCTGCTGCGGAGCTCCGTCTTCTTGCTAAGAGGGGTTCTGCCTACCGGCGTTGCATTGCCGATGCCGGCGCCGTGCCGCTTTTAACGACTCTACTCTCTCAATCGGATCCGAACACACAGGAGCATGCAATTGCTGCTCTTCTAAACCTCTCTATTGTTGAAGATCATAAGGAACTCATAATTTCTTCAGGTGCTCTCCCCAAAATAGTTCATGTGCTCAAGAATGGCAGCATGGAAGCACGCCAGAATGCTGCAGCCACACTCTTCAGCCTCTCTTCTGTGGATGAAAACAAGGTCTTGATTGGCTGTGCATCCGGTGCAATTCCGGCCCTTGTTTCCCTTTTAAGTGAGGGCGGGGAACAGGGTAAGAGGGATGCAGCATCTGCATTATTCAACTTGTGCATATGCAAGAGAAACAAGAGCAAGGCAGTGAGAGCTGGGGTGGTTCCAACGCTAGTGAACCTCCTAATGGAACCAGGAGGGTTAATGAAAGATATGGCTCTTACAGTCCTTGCAAATGTATCTAGTCATCCTAAGGGAAAGGTGGCAATTCTCGCCGCAGTAACCGTATCTATGCTGGTGGAGCTTATCAGAAGCAAATCTTCTCGGAATAGCGAAAATGCAGCATCAATACTGCTTCATTTATGTGTCGGTGAGCAGCAACCAATTTGTTTAGCTGAGGCTCAGGAATGTGAGGCGATACCTGCATTGCAGGCTTTAGCCGTCATTGGGACTGATCGAGCGAAGAGGAAAGCTGTGCTACTGCTTGAATACATGAAAATATTTCGGGATCAGCAGATGCACGCTCTTTCTCAAACAAAGTTTCATGCCAATTCTTGTTGAGATTTCAGATTATTAAGTCAACCATTTGATTCTTCAAATTTAGTAGGGGAGAGTTTGAGCTCTGTTTGGATGGTAGGAATTTGAATGAAGTGAAATGAAGCAGTGGCTGCAAGACTGAAATCAATGGGCTGTGGACTCGAGATTCAGCTAGAAAATGGCTAAATTTTACTTGTTTTCTTCACCTTCATTCAATCCAAATGAAATAAGTTACAATGAGTATTGTTATTATTTTCCTTGCATTAGGATTTGTCTAGTGATTTAAGTGAAACCAGAGAACGGACTTTCCAGGAAGCTCTATGTATAATTTGTAACTGCGGCAGTGAATAAAGAACTTCTTTGTATTTCATTTTTGTTTTCTATTCCATCAAATCATATAATCTTTTTCTATAATTATACTTTTTAAGGCTCCCATTTTCTGATCAGATTCAAGGGAAGAAAATTCCATCAGGACCTGAAAATAATGACACTGTAAGACGCATGCAATGAAAAAGTGTATTCAATTTAAGAACATCTTTGCAGTAAAGCATATCGATCTGTTATTCTTCGTCTTACTATTATTATTATTATTGTGTATAGGTCTTACTTCTGCCTCCAAAAAGCAACCTCTTCGTAAAGCAGGAGATCAACTCTTTTAAAGATCTTCTTGCATTTAAGGGGTCTGATTTATGTTTTTTAATCCTAAATCAATAACTTCGTAAAGCCATGCATCGTACATCATGAAAACAGTTCGTTTGAATCATGAAGAGTTTTCACGGGGAAAGCCCATTCAAGGGAAGCTATAAATGATGATGAATGTTTGCATAATAATGCATCATGGAATTCACTTTTGATGCAGGATCAGAAATTACTAATGTAATTATTATATAAGAACCACTTTACTTTTTTCTCTTTTTCTTCTTTTAACTTTTTTTTGACTCAAAAGCGCCCTTTCAGGTGGTCTCTAAAGAATATAAACTAGATATATATTAAGGAGATTTGTAGATTGGAATATTCGGTGGCGCCCATCTCCTATAGAACAGATTCTTTATCTTTTCTTTTTTGGCTGTTTCTCTGCCAGGTAGATTGGATAATGGCCAATTTATAAAGCTAAAGCTAAAGCTGCATCTCTCTCTCTCTCTTTACAATAACTATTAAGCCTTAATGGCAGGAGAGATTATCGTGATAGTCTAAAGTAGATGTAAAAACACATATACGTTGTTACTGGAATATGAGTATACAGTGAACTAAAGAAATATTAGCATACAGTGATCTTTATGACAATATTTAGTATGTTTAATCTCCCTTCAGATTTGACTGTTTAAAATATAAGTGACTAGATCTATCACATAGATTTTTTTTTTTGGATTAAGAATGAATTTGATTACTAATATATCCTACCTAAAAAGTTTTATGAGAGTTGATGATCGAATGATTCATTCATTCTATTTATGTCTTGCACCAGTCTTAAGCGTGTCCCATCATAATTGAGAAAAATTCAAGATTAATGATTTCACATGATTTTACTATAAGAATAGTGTACATTTGTGACCAACAAAATAGTTGTGATAATAAATGGATATTCTTATGGATCAGGCGGTTCCTCACATGATCACATTTTTCATTGACAAAAAGGTAATTTGTGATATCTCATAATCGATTGCAACAATTGCTTTCACAGAATTTTTTTTCACCATAAAGAGTAAAGACCATAAAAGGGCCTAATAGCATAGCAGTCGAATATTGTAGCGATTGTTCAACAATCATACAACGATCACTAACTTAAAGGATGATCATGAAATATCGATCCCTGGTAGTTGCAACAAGGAATGATTACAAACAAACATATGCGGCAATTTTGATATTAGAACATCTTGCACAATAACATTCAATACATCAAGTCAGCAGGACATAATTCACAAAACAAATTATATGCATTAAGCACAAAATAATTGTCGACTTCCACGAGAGCCAAGACCTTCAGAAATTTTACTCAAATCCCACTCAAATCCTCACTGAAATCCCGCTTACCTGCTATTCAACGCCGTTTGCATCTCCTCCCATGAATCCCGTGAGATTGTCTCAATTATGTGTATGCTTTCACTATTAAGACAACGACGAGCGGAGCACTTGAATTCCCTCCAATCTTCAAGTACCTGTTCTCACACCCGTGAAATCCCTTCAACGTCCAATTGATCCACGCAACCCTCACCCGTGCCCGTGTTGTGCCCGATCTCGACCTCCAATGCCAACTTATTGCAGCCCCACATCCGACCGATCTAACACCACCAGCTCTCACATGAATCCTCCCCGCCTCCAGCCTCGTCTTCCACAAGCTGCAAACCAATGAGCTCCCCAAGCCAAACTGGCCAGACTTCACATTGACCTTAGTAAAATTTCTCACAAGCATACCCGATCCCACGATCCAGCCGACGCTGTCAACAACAGGCCGATCCACTCAACCTACTCGACCCTGTGCCAACCTGCCTACAGATTCGCAACCATATACTGTGACAAATCCTTACCATACTCATCCGATCGCTCATTTCGATTCGACGCCACCTACCACAACCTTCCATTCGACTCCCAACAGCAGGCAGAAGACCTCCAGCCGAACCCCTATCTTCCAATTCCCTTCCCACAACCGCCATCCACTCCATAGCAAGAGCCCACATTCCTTTGGTTCACTATGCCGAACTCCACTTCAACCCTCACTGTAGCCTGCTCTACCCATCTTTCTAACTCCCAACAGTAGCCAAAACACCTTTACCTCTCCACTGTATTCTTTCACAAATCTACCTCATAGCCTCAAATAACCAAAACCCAAATTAATCCCCTCCAAATCTCTTCAACCTTCATAACTAAAATCCCTTAGCTAAACAACTCTTCAAACAGCCCTTTGCTACTGACTAAAATCCTACATCCAACTTGCCTACAACAATCATTTTTCCCATCCCTCTCTATTAAAGAAGTAAAAAAAAAATAAAAAAATAAAAAAAAGAAAGAAAAATATTTGCACATTTTTCATTGCCTTCATCGTTGTCCCGACAACGCTATACTCATCATCACCTCATGAAGGTATAAATGATTTCTCAAACTTAAGATCCTCCAAAATCCCACTTTAGGTGCTCACGGCACACCGGAAAATCCCTTAAACATGCTTTTCTATAGCGTTGTGGGAGGAAACCTTATGTGACGCTCACGGCGAGACGAGTAGGCCATGAACACGCTTTTCCTAGCATGACGGGGACAATCCTAAGTGCACGTGTATGTGCCTCCATGCATGCGGTGAAAAAGTTTGCATTTCAAACAGGTACCTCTGAAGACCCATACACGCCTTTCTTTGACATGGTGAAATTGAAAATCACTGCTGTGGTATCGCTCGACGACCATACACATCTTTCTTGATGTGATCGGCATGCCAAAACTCTTAAAATTTCCTCAAAATGGGGGAGACGCCGGAAGACTGCTGAATTTTTCAATAAAACAGAGGATCTAACTTGAACAATGTGAACAGGAAACAGAACTTAAACTACTAAACATGGAACTGAAGATAAGTAAATGTTCAAAGTAAAAATGCACATAAATAGAAAATTGCAACGAGCTATTGAATGAATAAAGCACATGTGGCGAATGAAATTTTCGACATAATTCACCTTCAAGTGGAATACAAAATTGAAGAGGATGTGATGATATGAAACCTCTAGCGAACACCATGACTCACCATGATATGAAACTCCATGCATGCGGCAAAAAAGTGTGCATTTCAAACAGGTACCTTTGAAGACCCATACACGCCTTTCTTTGACATGGTGGAATTGAAAATCACGGCCGCGATATCGCTCGACGACCATACACATCTTTCTTGATGTGGTGGGCATGCTAAGACTCCCAAAATTTCCTCTAAATGGGGGAGACACCGGAAGGCTGCTAAATTTTTCAATAAAACAGAGGAACTGACTTGAACAATGTGAACAGGGAACAAAACTTAAACTACCAAACAGGGAACTAAAGATAAGTAAATGTTCAAAGTAAAAATACACATAAATAGAAAATTGCAACAAGCTATTGAATGAATAAAGGACATGTGGCGGATGAAATTTTCGACATAATTCACCTTCAAGTGAAATATAAAATTGAAGAGGATGTGCTGATATGAAACCTCCAGGGGACACCATGACTCACACATGAATGACACAAAACTTGTAATGTTATTGTTAGCCCACTTACAACTAACAATGTTTAACTTGGAAACAAATTAAGGCGTCAAATAAAGGAAACTGATATTATGTGGAGTTGATAACTCGCCAACAAAACATGTACGAGTTTGTAAAGGATGCTGCATGCCTATACACAAAAAAAGAAAAAAGGTTATAATGAAATAATCTGCTTGCAATCGCCTTCAAACTCACAAATAGGTATTAACTCACAAATCACCTTCAAACTTGTAGCACCATTAAAATTTGCTCGAGTGCATTCTGAAAGCATATACCTTTCCCCATCTAACCTATCATTTAAAACATAAGCTTCCTTGGATTAAAAGACATACAAAAGTAAAAAATAGGCAATATGATTGGTAAATAAAGGAATCATATTCACCATTTCAAGTTTCCAATCTTGCAGATAAACGTTACAAGAAACCAGTGCATGATGTTCACTCCCAAAACTATCTTCTATAAAGGTAACTCGATAGAGGGAAGTTTATACTTTTTGCAACCTGAAATTCCACTAGAAATCAATGCATGACAAAAAAAAAAGTGAGAAATGCATAATAAATTGAACGGTCAACTTGAAGACCACATACCCTTACAGCCATTTCTTCATCAATAGTACATCGGTATCTAGTAGAACCTTCTAAAGGGCAGCTACCACTTTTCCATATAAAATTGGCATTGCAGAGAGAAGACAATTGCAATAGAACATCAGATGTCAACCCAAAACTCTCACTTTCAATGGCAGTGCCATTTTCATACTGCTCTTCTTCAACCATACTCTCAGCAACTGACGTAATGCATTGAAAAATTGCTAGCAACCTCTCGAGTGGGAAGCTACCAGGTCCCTTCAATAGTATTTGTTCAGCCATGCTATCCTTCCGATCCATTGACATCTGTGAATTCCTATAAGAAAACAAGGAAAATGGAAAGAAGTTTGATAACATTAAAGCCGTGCGACCTTTTATATGGATTTTCCACAAGGTGCAAGACATGAATATGGATGTTAAAGTCATGCAGTCAATACTTATTTCGTTTCCGATTGATTAAACCTCCTGATGAGTCAAATAAAGATGCATCGAGAGTAGCAGGATTTCTTGAAGCAATAAATGCAGAGAGGAGCAGATACTTTGCTGACATGGACATATGAAAATCCAACTCATTAGATGTCTCCTTTCTATTTGACTTACTAATTCCCTTCTTTTGGTGATCTCCTTCCTGCTTAGTTTGATGTGAAGACCAGCTCGGAACCGTGAACAATTCATTAAGTGATACAGTCAGGTATGGCTGAAGGTTATCAAAAAGTTTTCTCTTCATAGCCTCATCTGGAACAACAAAACGATCAACTAAAGGTTTACAGTATTGCTGAAACAGAGGTTGAAATGCCACTGACAACTCGTCAACTCGTCTGGTGACTCTAAAGAATGGCTTAAGAACCACACTGCAAAAGAATCACACTATTACATGAGCAAAGAGAATTATAGAGTATTCAAATAAAGACTTCCATCAAACCACTATACCTTAGAAAAGATGAGTAGAGCTTTGGGTTAGGTTGATTCCTCATGAAAATACCATGTAGATCCTCCAATGTATAGTCAGGAAAGTAGATTGTTATCGGCTCAATTGAACCGGTACACAAATAATATGCATCAGGAGTAGAGCTACTTATATAAATTATGCCAACTTCGGGAATTTTTAACATCTCATGGATTCGCAAAAGCAGAGGGACAATGTTAGAATTCTTGTCCCATGAGCGAAGTAGCTCACAGTTATCAAATATCAAGTAAATCATTTCCCCTCTATCAACCTCCTCAGAGCCAGATTTTAGATTCCTTTCTTTAAGAGCATTTATCCCCTGAACCAAAGCAATTCTGAGTAAATCAATGAATTCTGATGGCTTTTCATAGCGCTTGGTTCCACTGTTTCCTTTGATGGGATTCCTCCCGTGTAGAAGCAATTGCCTCAGAATGGAATCAAAGAGTATTCGTGGGGAGTAGCATGTTCGACAACCAGCGTAAACAAAAGGGCGATTGAGATAACGAAAAATTTGAAGAATGGCGATGGTCTTGCCAGTTGATGGTCCTCCATAGATGAGGAGAGGGAACATGGGGGAGTTCAAGGAGCCCACTAGCCGCAGAATCTCAAGAATTTGTGGCTTTCTTCCAGGAAATGATGAGATTAGCGTTTCCAAACTGATGGGTTCTTCTGAGGTGTACAAGCAATGGATTAGTTCTTGGGATTGGGTCTGTGAAGAGAAAGGATATACATTCTGGGGCGACGGCTTGGAAGGCGATAACTGCGATGAAGATCTAGTTTTCCTTCCAGGCGATAGTGGGATTGCTTCATCTTTAGCCATCTCTTGCAAATCCTTAAACCAATTGGATCAAGAAAAATGAGACAACTTATAGTACAAATGCCTGTACAGTTTGAGAAGCGAATCTTCTGCTCGCAAAATTAGCCTCTGGTTTCTGAGTTCTCGATTGTTACGCTATCTACTAGCTGTCAGTAATCAACAAGGAAAGGTGGATTAGGGCTTCGACGAACAAAAACTAGGACACTAAGGGGCTGTTTGGTATCGGATTTACAGCGGGATTTAAGTCAGATTTACGCTAAATCCAGCCAAACAGTTTTTGTGCGAGCGTTAAATCCCAGGATTCAGTAAATCCCGGATTTACGGATTTACAGCTTAAATCCGGGATTTAGTAAATCGGAGGGGTAGCCGGATTTAGTAAATCCGAGCAGGATTTATCCGAAGAAGCGCGCGAAAGGGAGAAAGTTACCTTCACAGCCAGCGAGCTCCCGTTCTTGCTTCCGATCAAAATGTCGTAACTTCCGATCCGGGATGAAGTCGTCGCAGGAACGAAGTCGAACAGCCACGAAGGAGCCCGACCATGCATAAGATGTTATGCATCTGACAGAGATATAGACATCAGATAGCTTCTTGTTACATATATATAGTTATTATATTGCTGCTCAA